CCCCCCCCCCCCCCCCCCCCCCCATTTCCTTAGGGACTGGGCATAACTAGACTTTTCTCCCCTTAAATGAGCAGATAAGAGATTACTTCTCAAATGAATTTTTTAAAGTCTGCCTACAAGCCAAGTGCCCATCAGGCCAGAGCTTATCCCAGTTTCTGTAGCATGAAGCGACTAGAATATTTCTACTCCCCCCTGGATGGGATGCCAGTCCATCACAGGGTTACCCCCTGCATTGAATTCGCCAGTACCCATTTGTACACCTGGGTGGAGAGAGGCACTGTGAAAGAAGCACTGTGGGAGTAAAATGTCCCTGGCCAGGGCTTGAACCCAGATCACTCGGTCCAGAGTAAAGGGCACTAATCATGAAGATACCACACATCCAAAAATGAATTTTAACAGTTCTATATTTGTTTTTAGCTGATAGGTCTAAATCTCGCTCAAGGTCACGATCTAGAAGAAGATCCAGTTCAAGGTAAAGTAGTTTCAAAAATTTGTTCTGGAGAAGGCTTCATCCATGTTGCAACATGTTTTATCTCCTGTAATCAGGTGTTATTGTAGGTTTACAACTACAGTAGTGTTTGCCAACATATTGCTCTGGGTCAATCTTTGCTTATGTAATACATGGCATAAATTTATCAAAATATATTTCTATACATAGCAGGTTTTAAGATACAAATTAATAGTAATTGTATCATGTAGCAAATAGTTTTGGGCACTTCAATGAAAAAAAAGTTACAAAAAAACACTGAATTGTTACTCCAGAACCTACAAAAGGTATTTACTGTAATTTAATAGACAAATAATAGGGACGCTGGCTACCTGAAGTAACACTGAATTGAAAAATGCTAGCCAGTCAGTTAATAGAAAAGATTGAAATTGTAAGTACTGGCACACTTGTGTCTAAATAACTGTGGAAGTTTACCTGTAGTTTCTAAATAATTTTTCCTACAAAAACTAGCACCAAGTGTCTCTTTCAAATTCTATTTCTTTCTTTCAATCTTAGGTCAAGGAGACGTAGGTCCCGTTCCAGGTCAGGCTCACGTCGAAGGAAACAATCCCGCAGCCGCTCACCTTCCAGGTAATGTAGTATTTAGTCAGTGAAATTTTGACTCCATCATTACCCTTAGGTGTGATACTGCTATTATGTTCTAGATAATAACATCAACACTAAAAAAAAGGACAGGCATGTCTTGCTGCTTGTATGTTAAGGCCTTCAGATTTCTTGGTGTGCTAACTTTGTATTTATGAGTCCGCTGTGGTCGGTAGGGAGAAGGGATTAGAAGAGAAGGCTTTAAACAAACTTTGACTTCCAGCATTCTATGGTATGGCTAACTAAAGGGATATGGAATGCCTTAAAGAGTTCTTCTAAACCTTTACCAGAAATGTGCAAAATAGTAGTTACAAGCCATTATTGGTTGAGTATGGAACGCCAGAACTGTCTTATGATACTTTTTTTTATTATATTGGGTGGTTATGTCATTATATTTAGTACTTATGTTATTATATTCGGTGATT